ATATATATTTTTTGAAAATTGTTTTACAAAGTAGTTTATCATGTAAAATTAATTAAATATTCCTTGAAAAAATAATACAAAAACAAAATTAAAAGCATTTAAATAATTTTACACAACCAACTGTATTATATAAAACAATCTCTCTTTTTTTTTTTTCAGCAAAAGCCTACTTTTAGCATTTTAACTTATTAGATTTATAGTTTTTAATCTTTTACCTTATATTATTATGACATTTTTAACTCTTTATTTATTAGAATTAAAGAAAATAACTCTCACTTTATAATATTTTGTTCGTTCTGTTAACTGACTGTTAATTTTGTTAGCTGAAAGTAGATTTTTGTCATCTAACAGTCAACTAATAGTAAGCTAATAGAATTAATAATCTGCTAATAGAATAGTTCTATTAACAACTGTTAATTTTATTAGTTGAAAATAAGTTTTTATCAATTAATAGTCAATTAATAATCAACTAATAAAGTTAACAGTCAACTAACATAATTAATAAAATATTATAAATGAGGGCTATTTTCTTTAATTATAATAGGTGAGGGGTTAAAAATGTTATAGTATAAGATAAAGGGTTAAAACTTACAAATCTAATAAGATAAATGGCTTAAATTAGGTTTTTCCTTTTTTTTTTTTTTTTTTTTTCATATAAATATTTGGTCTTAGCGATACAATTTATTTTCCTTTTATGTTTGATCTGGCCAAATTCATTTGGTTGGTGTTTCAAAAGAAGGATAGGAAAATCTCAAAATCATTTCTGTGTGATGATGTTAAATTATGAAATGAATTACCTGTTCTTGCATATGATCTATGACTGTCAAATTACAGAGATCAGGGAAAGTACCTGGTGTTGGCATGGTGCACGCCCCACTTGCGTTGTTGCCCATGTCATTCCCAGAAAGCTACTGGAAGCAAGCATGTGAATTAGCTCCTATTTTCAATGAACTTGTTGATCGCGTGAGTTTGGATGGAAAATTTTTACAGGAGTCGCTAGCTAGGTACTCTCTGTTCTTTTCATCCATACATGAACTATATCACCCAGAAGATATTAGCTTGCTCTCTTCTTGTTCCAGTTTTCTCTAGTTCAGTTTTCAGATTTCTATCTATTTACTGAAGAGATTGGGGTTACTTGTAAACTGATTTTTCATATGTATAACCATGCAGGACAAAGAAAGTAGATGCTTTTACCTCAAGACTTCTAGATATTCATTCCAAGATGCTAGAAATGAACAAAAAAGAGGTAAGTGTTTTTCATTTAAGCATCTGATCTTATACATCGATGCTTTCTTTTACAAGGGAGTGGAATCTTCTAATCAAATCTTTCTGATTACCATTTTAGTGTGTGTTCTTCCACCTTTCATCTTTCACATCCTCCATTAACTAGAGCATTGACGCCAACTTTCCTCTGCAATGTTTCTTCTTTTGCTTTTCTATTCTATGAGTTGGTAAGGGGAAGAAAAAGCCTATTGGTCGGTCATTCCTGGTTACACGAAGATATTATATCGGAAGTTTTAATGTTTCTAGGACTGAACATATTACATTTAGATAAAGGAAGTGCTAGTTTCATATCTTTTAGCTGTCATAAGCCAAAATGAACTAATTCCATTTTATTTAACTACATTTGGCTTATTTCACTGTGTGGTGTGGAATTGTGGATTGATATGGAATTTCTTATTTCTCGTAGTCTATAAGATACTAATAATGCTCAATCAATTAAACAGGAGATACGGCTGGGTTTACATCGCTCAGATTATATGCTTGATGAACAAACCAAATTACTTCTCCAGATAGAGTTGAACACAATTTCATCTTCAATGCCTGGTCTCAGTTGTCTTGTCAGTGAGCTTCACAGGTTGAGTGAATATGCATTTTCCCTTAGCTTCCTCTAACTTGGCTTCCTTTTTAATTGTAAATATCATTTGCTGTACTTTTCTCATGGAATGGAATCTTTTTCTTGTTTAAAATTCTTCTTTCAATCTTGACTCTGGGTTTAATTTCTAGCTATAAGGTGGGTTCAGTGATCTTTGATCACATAAAAAAATCTTATGAATTGTAGAGTCATGATCTCATAATCAGTGTTATTTGCAAGGTTTATTCCATGTCACACAGGCAGACCAATTGCAGGAAGAAACTTTAAAAGTGCCTTTATTGAACAATAATGTAGATGCTATGGTGTTCAGAACAACTGTGGCACTTGTCATGCTGTAATATTTTTCCTGCTTAATACTCCTATCACTGTGTTTGCCAATATATATATATACATATGTATACTTCTATCACTATTAATCTAACAAAAAAACTGCTATAGAACATTAATTAGGCTTTCATACACCAGTATGCCTGTTTGAAGTTATTCTAACAAATTTTTCTTGCAAAAAGTGTGCAACAAAGCATTGTATGGCAGTTTATCAACATTAGCTGGCTATTTTTCAGGAGCTTGCTTAATGACTATGGAAATGACCTTGGATTAGATTCTCAAAGGATCCCAGGCAACGCTGCTGTCAACCAGTTTGCAGAGGCATTGGCAAAGGCTTGGGCTGAATACAATAATGACAGGTTAATTATGAGAAATTGGTTTTATTTCTTTGCTGCTTCATTAGCACACATACTTATGGAACTAATCAATATGATTTTTTGGTGCAGTTCAGTTGTTATGGTTGTGGTTCAGTCTGAAGAACGTAACATGTATGACCAACTCTGGCTTTGTTCTGTGTTGAAGGAAAAATATCCTTTTGACTATTTATAATCTACATTACCTTAGTTAAAGAAAGGCGGTTTCTTAGTTTACCAGCATATTCCTTAGCTTGATAATACACACAATGTGAAAACTGTTCGAAAAACATTAGCTGAAATTGATAGTGAAGGGCAACTACTGCAAGATGGCACACTTATAGTGTATGTAACGTCATATGGTTGATTTTTCTGATATTCATTTGTGGAATTTTCATGCTTAGTTAACTCGGAGAGCTTTGTACCTGCAGAGATGGAAAAGCAGTTGCGGTTGTCTATTTTAGAGCAGGATATGCTCCAACTGATTATCCTTCTGAATCAGTAAGTAATTTTGCTGCTTCTTTTTCTTTTTGGTTCTTTCTGTACTCTTTGTTCTAAGTG